GAGGAGGAGACTACAGAGGTGACGGGAACATCCTCAGCCTTGTAAAACAGATGGGCACTTCCTATGGCGTCAGGGTCTCACTGAAGTGGGTGCCTGGCCATTCTGGAGTACCAGGGAATGAGACTGCAGACCATCTATCGAAGACTGGAGCGAGCCTGCCCCAGACAGACACAACCGCCTCTTTACATGCCTGCAGAGGGATCATCCAAGCCAAAAGCAGAGACGAGTGGCTAAACAGATGAGCCAACGCAGAAACAGGAAGATCTCTCTTCGGGTACATGGACAAACCCAACCCCGAAGACCCTTCGAATCTTTTATGTAGAGCCGATCAGACATTGATCTTCAGAGCCCGCACAGGACACTTACACACCAACAAGCCCATAAACAGAATCAACCCCATGTGGGAACCCCATTGCAGACACTGTGACTACCACGAGGAGACCGTTGAACATCTTCTCCTTCACTGCCCAAACCTGGCAGTTCTTCGACGCAGGCTCCTACACACACCTACAGACTTACAAAGCCTGCTCTACTCTGGCGTTGACCAGATGACAAGGACATGTGGTTACTTGAGGGAGGCATTGCGCTGCCAAGAGCGAAATGCTCGCAGCTAAAGGGATTTGAAAACAACAAACAACAACAACAACCACAAAACAGAAAAAAAAATCAAAAGAGTCAACCAAAACATCCCTCCCCACCTTTCTTTTAAAAAGCCAATCATTACAACATCTCTTCGAGACGAGAGCACAAAATCTTCAGAACCAGTGACGCTGATGCTTGCATCACATCAAACAATCGACAGCTATTCCGATGACTGGATACACGTCTATACGGACGGCTCAGCATTCAAAGGCGTAACCAAAGCCGGATATGGAATACTAATACAGTACCCAGATGGAAGTTCCAATGAGATCTCTGCAGCCTTCGGAGAGAAATGCAACAACAACAATGCAGAAATGATGGCAATTGAAACAGCACTGTACCATCTTCGCACAGTTTTTGACACTCATCCAGGAAAAGCACAGAGTGTTGTGATTTTCACCTGACTCACTATCAGTCTAACAAGCCATAGAAAATGTCCATCATCTAAATCAAAATTTGAATCATATACTGTTTGGCTCCCATCATCTGATAACATTCTGTGGCATCAACCTGGTGATGCAGTGGGTCCCTTGACACTCAAACATACCTGGAAATGACAGAGCAGACACACTTGCCAAACGGGGATCTAGACAGGAACAACTCAACATCCCAACTTCATGCAACACTGCAAAACAAATCATTAAAAGCAACAACAAACAAGACTGGATGAACAGATGGGCCATCTGTTTTCAAACATATGACCACAACAAAAAGAAATGACAATATCAACCATATACTGAGAAAGAAACAGAACACGACCTTCCGCCTACGAACAAAACATACACAGCTCAACTTCCACCTGAACAGAATAAACCCGGAACTTCCCCCAATGTGTCCCTTGTGTGACTATGCATATGAGACTGTGGATCATCACCTGCACCTTAAATAATAACAGAGCTACCCTTCTCCCTCCGAGACCTAACACTGACAACACACTCTATAGAACATTACAGCAACTGCAGCAAACCTGCACTTATCACTACATGGCATTGGACAGAAGGGAGAGAGCCCAGATGTTGCTGGATCGATAACAACAACAACAACAACAACAGATTTCCAGAAATATTGACCTACACCAAAAATGGGCATTACCCTACCTATAGGAGCAGTTTGGTTTCACTGATGTGTATATAAATGGCGGTGGCATCTCTTCGGGGAGGATTCAGGGAGGTTGGACTGCCTCACCCACTACCCAAGGGAGGCGGTGGCCCTGGCGAAGAGCGCACTCTTCGGGGCTCCGAACATTTCGAACGGATAGGCTACCACACACACACACAACAACAACAACAACAACAACAACAGCTGGAACTGAATGTTTCCAGGAAAGATGGGATTGGTTCGACATATCTGTAACAGAAAAAAACAAATTGCAAAATGCGCAATTCCTAGCCAACCTATTCACAAAAATATGAAATATGCAAATGCGGAACAACTATTATTATGATGTTTATAAGCAACGATTCATTCGATTGTTATCAATTCCGCTACAAATGTGTTCTGATAATTATGCTGTCTGTGTTCCCAAAAAGATTTAAACTGTTGTAGTCTGCTAGGCTGTGAGAAGGAACTTCAGCACATGTTCACCTTGTCTGGTAGCCAAGATGTTTCAAGAACAAGCGGGCTAACCCAGACTTCGGGGGTTTCCAGAAATCTTGACCTACACCAAAAATGGGCATTACCCTACCTATAGGAGCAGTTTAGTTTCACTGATGTGTATATAAATGGTTTATTTATAGAGAAAACTCACATTGACTTTTAAAGAAACTGAACAAAGGGCAAAGAATTTACCTTCGATTTTCTCAAAACAGTATCTTTTTGGGTATCCTCCTTGTGCTTAAAAGCGACCAACTGAGCAAAGCAGGACAGCAAAATCTGTATACCAACTACGCAATGGCCTACCACCAACACCTACTATAAAGCTGGCGTTGCCTACCACACAAAGGCGGGGCCAAAAATCAAATTAAATACTAACTCCTTTGGTAACAAGTCATAAATCTATTCAAACCCGAGGGAATGATTAAAGCAAAAACAAACCAGAGAAACCCCCGCAGAGATAGAGAGAGAGAGAGAGAGAGAGAGAGAGAGAGAGAGAGAGAGAGAGAGAGAATATGAAACATAGATATCACAAATAAACAATAAAATACATTACAATAATTTTCACCACACTAAAGAACGTTAGAGGACATAATTCAAAACAATTGTGAAAGAACTTTTTGTTTATTTATGTACATGTATAGCTTTAGTTTTATCACAGGAATGTGGAAAAACAATTAATATAACTTTTAAAAAGGACGGATTTTCTGTTTAGAGCTCGTTACATTAATAGTAAATATTAAAATTGCGGCTTTTCTATGTTTGTGATAATGTTTCTGACATTTTTTTCCTAACAGATTAGGATCTCCATTGTGTAAACTATTTACTGTGACATAAATCTTGACATAATTGTTACCTTAATGGGTTTTTTTTCAATTTGTTTATTCTTTTTTATAAAAAAAAATATTTGAGACACAAATAGGCCAATGCCTCTCCAAGAGTCATTCAATGAAAGTAATAATTCTCCTGAGCTCCATTATAAATATATTATTTAAATAAACAAAAGAATCATTCGATGAGTGTGTGCAGTTTGGGGTACCTATTCACACTGTAAATTTATTTTGAACGCAGTTTCTCCAAAGTTAACATGTGTCTCCAATATGACCGAGCCAAATGGGTTGAGAGCTTTGAAAACTCAAAAAAACAACCTGTGCTCAAGAACACCTGGTCTGGGATTAGAACTCAGGCAGTCCCCTCGTGATACTGACTGAGCCAACGGCACACTCAGCCAGTCAGTTCTTCTATGAACTGGAGTGCATAATCAAACGTACAAGAAAATTATGTGAACAAAAATATATATACGAGATTAAATGAAACAAAGATAAATAAACAAACCAAACAGATGCAAGCTAAATAATGAGGAAACCAGTTCCTTAACTAATTTCCCACCCCTTTACCATAGAATTCCATTCACCTATGAACATAATATGAAGAAAAGTAAATCAGATAGGAAGTTCAATAGAAAGAACCAAGGAAACAGCTGTATCATGGTGAAGTCTTAGAGTACCAGTTCATTACAACCTGGAAGATGTGAGTCACTGGAGGACAGCCCAACCCAAACTATTCATATTTTTCCTTTGGTCCTATTTTCCCCTGTTGTTTAGCCCTCTCTCCAACACCTGACTGCAAACTTTCCATACTATAATAGAATCCACTCAGACAGGCAGGACAAACAGTGGACTAGTAAACGAGCAGCCACAAAATGCGCCTCTTATAGTACCACACTCAAGCCTACTGTAGCCATTAAGTAAATTAAATTCAGAACTGTGTGAGTTTTCAAGTTGCTGAAATATCTAGACAAAATCAGGGAAGCCATTGCGATGCTTTCTTCACTGAGAGAGAACAAAGTAATGACTATATTATAGGAAAGAAAATCTATACTCTCCATTCAAATAACGCAATGGCTATATATAATTTAGCGATAGGATCTTAAAAGAAGTTGAAAGCATGTTTTCATTATTATCATTATTACTGAAATTATTATTATCATTATAACTATAATTATCATTATCAATATTCGTTAAACTCTCAGTGCAACTACATGATTGTACTT